TTTATTTATCAAATTTGTCACCACCCATCTTGTTAAAAAGTGACTCTGGGCAGTTTACAGCAGAGATACAATCAATTAAAATACAATATAAAAACAATCTTAATATTAAATACATTCCAAGAGAGATGGAGAATCAGCGAATAACTGTGATGGAATGGAATTATGAAGGCCAGGCTCAGGGAGATAAACATTTTCTTAGCTCGCCAGAGCAGCGTGGGAGATACAAGAGGATGAGACTGGCACCTCCCTGAGGAATTCACATTGTTGTGGCTGGATGGCTTGGGAGCTGGGGGTTTAGTCTGGGAAGATTTTTGCTTGAGGTTGTTGCTAATAAACATAGCTGAACTGAATTTGCATTGTCTCTTGGAGTTCCTTGGGCTAGGCCTGACAATAACTCAGGAAGCGTCATCAGGGCGCTAACCAGTGCTAGGGACGACTAGAACTCCTATCGCCCCATGCAAGCTGGCAGAGTCCAATCTTTAATCCTTTCAGGAGAGCCGGGAGGGTAGGGCCCTGCTGCACCTCTGGGGGGAGAGTATTCCAAAGGGTGGGGGCAACGGCAGAGAAGGTTCTCCTCCTGGCCCCCACCAGCCCACATTCTCTTGGTGATGGGGTCCGCAACACGCCCCTTCTGCCTGACTGGGTGGGACAGGCTGTTGTTGTAGTAGGGGTTGTTAACGTTATTAATGTTATTAAATTTATTGGCTGCTCAACTCCAGTGAACTTTGGGTGGTGTACAAAACTAGAATAAACTCCTGTTATCATCTTAAGATATTTGGTCATTTGGTTTTTAGGATATTCCTCTGGGCTAAATGTGAACCCCCTAACCCTTCTGATCTCACCGAAGAATAGGAGAATGTGAAGGGAAGTGAAAGAGACTTTGGGGTGAGAAGGCAAGAGGGAGAAAAGTTAAATGAATAATGACTGAGACATGAACAGGCAACCTGGAACCACATCAGGTCTTAGCCCAGGAAAAAGATTAGTTTCCATTTCTCACATTTGCTTCAGGAAAAAAGCTGCATTTTACCATTCAGACTAGAAACAGAAAAAATCTGGAAATTTTTAACCACGGGGAGGGTGGAATTCTCCATAATTTCTTCTTTCATTTTTTAAAGTAGAATAATGCAAAATATGGGTAATATTCACTTTTTAGTCACAGCTGAATTTATTATATATTTAACTACATTAAAACATATCCATCTTCCAAGGGGGAAGACTTAAGATCCTCTCGGTTGCCTGACACTTTTGTACCTCTTCATATTTGGGGGGCTGTTTTCAGAATATTTTCCGCTAGCCATGGTGGAATGGTTTTAAACCATACTGACCGGGAAAACGCAATGATGAAATGGAAGGCTTAAAATAGCCTTAGCAATATTTTTTATAAAAAAAGGACCACCTTTTGACCCAGAAAAAATCTGGGAAGGAACTGTATTTTAGCATTTTTCAACAAGACTTCCTAAACCATTGTTTGTTGAACAAACCATAATTGGCTTGCATCACAGATAATGCTATGCTGAGAATACGTATCACTCCAAGCCAAAACCAGGAAATGATTGACCCAGCCACGAAGAGAACCACCACCACTGCAAATCTGAGTTTTGTCAAAATGACAAAACGAGCGCTGCGCCATTGCAACGCCATCACTGCTTCTTTCATATGTGTGTGTAAGATCATGATACCCATACAAAAAGGGCAGCACTTACATTGCAACACTCTTTCATCAATTGCCTCCCCTCGCACAGGTGTTTCACACTTTCACTACCATAATGCCAGCCATGGTTGGTGCTATGAGAACAAAGGGGTCGAAATATTAAGAATACAGATCCTTTCAGCAAACATTTAAATCAGTGTTTCTCGACCTCGGCAACTTTAAGATGTGTGGACTTAGCTGGCTGGGGAATTCTGGGAGTTGGTCCACACATCTTAAAGTTGCCGAGGTCGAGAAACACTGATTTAAAGCAAGGATGGATGAAAGAGCTATGCTATGTTTTGGGTTCAAAGGCTACCGGGTGCTCCAGAGGACACAGCCAGACTCTTTTTGCAATTCCTTAAACCACATGATCCAGGGATTGCGCTGCAGCTGCAGAGCACGCAATCCCAAGAAAAGACACATGTGATTTGAGTTGCTAAGAGGTGCTACTTGTGGGCTGTGTGCCCCTGAGGCCTCTCTTTCTCTCTGAATCCAGAGTGTTGCATAGTCCAAAAAGACAACCTCTTGCTGTCGAGCTATTGTTTAACTCAAGTTCCTCAAACTGGTTTTTGAGAAACTTCTCATTACTTAGTAGAGGGGCCCCAACAGGAAAACTCAGTAAAAGGTGAAACAATATTCCAATAGTAAAACTTGTCTACCATTTGTTTACTTAAATATTTATCAACCCATCATCCTCAAAATAATCCAAGGCCTTCCAGATGTTGCTGGACGACAATAGCAGCACAACTTTTCTCTAGACTTTGCCCAGCCTATACAAGACATAAGGCTATGCTTAAAATATGCCCTTCAATGCATGGTCTCTGCAGGTTTTCTTGAAATAGTACACTGAGTGGAAAAATTCACCAAAGGCTGGCCAGTTTAGAACCACAGCAGAACCAAAATAAAGGCTTTGTATTTTATAACTGTCTTGCAAAGGGGTCAACCCCAAATCAGCTTTTATTTATTTACTGTGCATCATCACAGAGGAAGCAAAGAACACCAAAATGTTATTAAAATGGAGATAAAAATAGAACAATAACTATTAAATTCAAATATGAGCATGAGGATGCTAAGCAAATAAATGACTTTTTCTGGAGCAGAAAACACAAATGAGTAGAAACCAGAAAATTACTTCATTCTGACATTTGAAGAAAAACTCTAAGTAGGTAAATATGGGAAAAGGTTATCCATTAGTTCATTGTTGGCTGGGGAATTCTAGGAGTTGAAGACTACACACCTTAAGGTTGCCAAGGTTGAGAAACACAGCCCTAATGAACAAACCGAAAGCTACAGCTGGGTGGAAGAATTTCACTCAGCTACATAGCACTTCCTCTGCCTTCTGCTGACAAAGTGAAAAAATCTATGGATTTAAGGTAGCCTTCATTAAGAATCTGTGCAAAGGGTAAGAGAAGAGCAGTCTGTTTAACACATGCATCTAACCCATGTACTAGATTACAAAAGCACCTAAAATGTGGAGAAACAGTACAGGTAGTCCTCGTTTAGTGACCACAATTGGGACTGGCAACTCAGTCATTAAGCAACGTGGGTGCTAAGTGAAATCGCACTGTGCTTATGATCTTCCTTCAGCTTTCCTTTATTTTACAGCAGTATTTCTCAATCTCAGCAACTTTAAGATGTATGGACTGAGAATTCCTCAGCCAGCAAGTTGCTTTACAGACCTGCAAAGATCATAAATGCAAGAATTGATCATAAAGTTACTTTTTCATCACTGTTGTAACTACAAATGGTCACTAAATGAGACAGTCGTTAAACAAGGATTACCTGTATTAAACTATAGCCACAAAGGTGGCTAGTATCTAAATCAATTCCATGAGAGATATCACTGGGCATGAAAATAATCCAGGTTTCAAAGCAACACAGTAAGAGAGTCCAGCAATGTAAATTCAGTATTGAAACCAAGACAAACGTACAGGGAGTCCCTGGGTTAAGAATTCCCAGGTTACAGATGACCCAAAGTTAAGAACGGAGCCTACTGTGGCACAATTTGAGTTAAATACACAATGATTTGAGTTAAATATACAATACTACATATACGGTATTATACAATAATACCGTTCAGACTTACATACAAATTTGACTTAAGGACAGACCTTGGGAACAGAAATCGTTCTTAAACTGGGGACTACCTGTATTTCCAATTCTTCAGTTCAGTACTGCTGGCTGTTTTTAAAATTATTTTTGGCCCTGTTTTTCCCTCTAAGAAGCTGTGCATAAGGCTGTTCCATTTGTTCTTCTAAAGTGCCCTAAAAGGCTAAGGAACCTGATCAGGCCAAGAACACTTAGCATAAAAGAGGATTTGAACTGGTGTCTCCAGGGCTCAAGTGCAACGATCTAGGCCTGGGGCGCCTCTCTTCAAAGACATGATCTCATCGCTCCTTGTCTTCTGCCTTTCAACCCAGAGAGACCACCAAGAAACCTGGTGACAAACATTGACTGAAACTAAAACTGAGCCTTGCTGAAGACTCCAGGCCCAACAGCCTTCCCACCCCGCTCCCGTCCCCTTTTGGCATCCTCTCTGCCAGCTTTACTCTGAAATACGGCACCCAGACCAGAATCTGGAAAAACACCCCACATCTTTTTAGCCAAGCTTTCAACAAGGCTAAATGCCAGGTGATCTGAGCAATGCCCATGTGATTGCTAATGCATGTTGCTAAACACGTTGGAGTCCCGAAGCCAAACAAAAACAGAACACGACCCCTTTTAAGGACACTCCGGAGAAGGCGGGAAGCCTTCTTTAAGTATTTTGAGAGTTCTGCAAAAGAAAAAAGGAAAAAAAATCCTAGCCTTATCATGGAGGCGGCTTTGTTAAATCTCTCACTGAGGTGCTAATTTACTACATGCAGGCAAATACCTCCATCTCAGCTTTCCAAAGTGCTAAAAATGGGGAGTTTAAAGCAATGTTCTCAATCTCAGCCACTTTACATTGGGTGGACTTCCACTCCCAGAATTCCCTATCTAGCCATGCTATGAATTCTGGGAGTGGAAGCCCGCCCAGCTTAAAGTGGCTGAGATTGAGAAACTCAGGTTTAATGGCTCCCTATTAATGTTATGCTTCCGCTTCCCCAAACTGAGTCCATTCCAAGCACCTGAGACAAATCTTCCCCCAAACAGGTGGGATGTTCACTGAGATTCCCATCATCCTCAGCCATTGCTCTGCTGGAGGTGGATGATGGGGCTGAAGCCCACCCCGCGGGGAAGGATGATAAGGCTGGATCGAAGGAAAGTTTCTTCCCACTTTTCCCCTAATTCTGGGAGGAAAGCCCCTGAGGGGAGGGGATCCGGCACTTACCCAGGGTGAATTCCCATTGTTCATTCCCAAGAGACCGTTCGGGAAGCACTTCTAAATCTAGCATTGGTTTAAGCAGAATGGCCCAGTTGCCCCTTCGCTGGTTCCCGACGTGAAGCGTGGTTCGTCCTGAAGGTGGAGAGAACGGGGGGCGGGGTGGTGGTTATTCCTTCTCATCTCCGGTCTCAACCCAAAGCAAAGTTATCCGCACACACTCCCCGCCCCAGCTCAAAGAGGACCCTCTTCCTGTTCTGGGAATGCTGTTGTTTCTTTATTCAGAACAATCCTCCTTTTTCCCTTGGGGATGCATCCAAGGAGTTGAAGGAGATTCCCAAACTCTTTAAATATGCAGTATCCTGCAGCACGCAGGCAGATCCCACAACGTCCCTCTTGCTCTGCTTCAGCACAGGCTGCTTTCAGAAGGGGCAGGCGGACAAGGGGGCCTGTTCGCTATCTCCTCTGCCCCTTTGTCCCTCTGCCAGGAATAAAAGTGAGTCTTATTGATTCCTTGCCTGCCTGCCAAAGTTTGGGATAATTTCTTCCCGGTAATGGACATACCCCAAAAGGAGACGGGGCTTACCCAAGAGAAACCCCCCCCCCCAATGCTCTTGAAACGCTTGGCAGCGACATTCACACAACTGCCTGAATGACATGCCGGTCGTGTGAGCCTACAGTCCTTGTATTGTGCAAATCCAGGAAAGGGGGCAGATTCAACACCACCTGGTGATGTTTAGCGCTACCCCGCCCCAAAAAGGATGGTGCTGGAATACAGTTCCCAGCAGCCTGGCCAAGAGTGAAGGATGCTGGGATTGTAGTTTTTCCACATCTGGAGGGCCACCTTTTTCCGGAGGGATCTGGGGGGCAATGCCCAGGGGCAACGGCACAGGGCCCTAGCCCCAGGCCCCCCACTGATGGGCACAGGCTGCCCGGGAAGCGCACCGGGCGACACCACCTTTATTATTCCGAGCGCCGGGCTGCTTC